TCAGCCCCCCAGATGTCGATGTGTCGTGGTCCCCCGCCAAACATGCCCAGGAATGGAGATACAGGGCCGTGAAACACGCTAATTCTTCCATGCTCCGCCCACTGCCTTTTTACGGCGCAGATTCCCGCCGTTCATAACATCCGTCGTAAGCGCGCCTGTCGCGTGCGGCTCCTTGGCACTTTGCCAAGTCCTTTAATTGCGCTCTCAAATCCAAGTAAAACGCAATTTCCTGATGCGGATAACATTGGAGGTGCTACAAAATAAGAGCAGAAGATGATGACAAGGGGCAGAACTCAAGAGCAACTCGGCTGCATCTGCAGTATCCATCAAGGGCCGCGCATTCCACAAAACATGAAAATAAAAACAGCCCAAGCGTCCCACTCGTTTGTTCTAAGTATTTCTATGGCTTTGGCGCCGGATCGTAGAAATTTACAGGCCAGTTTATCTAATTTGCCTTTCCTTGATTTTTTCATTTTTGTTTTGTTTACATTTACATCTTTTGCTTTCATTTCTAGCCTGTGTCACCTTCATCTCCTTGTACATGGATTTTGAAGTATGAGCAACACCTCAAATTTTATTCGCATCAGGAAATTGCGCCTTGCTTGTATTAACTAACGAGTATGCCGTTTTTATTTCCATGTTTCGTGGAAGTACGTGGCTTCCGAGGGATGTTGCAGAAGTGGCACAGTTGCTTTTGAGTTCTGCCCCTTGTCATCGTCTTCTGCTTCTTATTTTGTAGCACCTCCAATGTTATCCGCATCAGGAAATTGCGTTTTACTCGTATTTGAGAGCGCAATTAAAGGACTTGGCAAAGTGCCAAGGAGCCGCACGCGACACGCGCGCTTGCAACGGATGTTATGAACGGCGGGAATCTGCGCCGTAAAAAGGCAGTGGGCGGAGCATGGAAGAATTAGCGTGTTTCACGGCCCTGTATCTCCATTCCTGGGCATGTTTGGGCGGGGGGACCACGACACATCGACATCTGGGGGCTGATAGTCTCATACACCCTCAATGTGTATGAGCGTACTATGTGTCTTTAAAGCAAATGTACGCCTCAAACATTGAGGGTGTGTGAGACTATCAGCCCCCAGCTGTCGATGTGTCGTGGTCCCCCCGCTCAAAACTGCACGGGGTCAGAGTACGGGGACCGTGGGAAAGAGAAGTAGCTTTAATTGTCAAACGTACATTTCACGCCAGCGAAGTCAGTCGTCTCGCGTCGCGGTCATTGCGCGGCGTGCGTTGATCGATTGAATGTGGATTCCTGTCAGATGATATTGGCAACTAGTTTCTTCTCTGTAATAGAAGAACTTAATTGTCAATATCATCTGAAAGGAATCCACTTCAATCGCGCGCAATGACCGAAACGCGAGACGACTGACTTCGCTGGCGTGAAATGTACGTTTGACAATTAAGGTCTTGTGTGGGAAAGTCGTAATTCCTTGCTACACCGCCCTCACGTTTATGCTAACACCATCCGCGCGGCGCGGTCGCGTGCAGCTCTCTTGGCTTTTGCCAAGTCCTGTAATTGCGCTTTGGAATACAAGTACAACGCAATTTCTTTATGCGGATAACATTTTAGGTGCTGCAAAATAAGAACCGAAGATGATGACAAGGGCTAGAACTCAAGAGCAACTGTGGTGCTTCTGCAATATCCCTCAGAGGCCGCGCATTCCACAGAACATGACAATAAAAACGGACAACATGACAATAAAACATGACAATACAAGCAAAACGCAATTTCCTAACATTTGAGGTATTGCTCATGCTTCAAGTCCGAATAGAAGGTGATGAAGATGACAAAGGCTAGAAATGAAGAACAACGAATGTAGATGTAAATAAAACAAAATTGAAAAAAAACTAAGGAAACGCAATAAATTAAAATCGCGTGTGCATTTCTGCGATCCACTCGAATCCGGCTCTAGTGCTATAGAAATACTTCAAACTAACGAGTGGGACGCTTAGGCCGTTTTTATTTTGATGTTTTGTGGGAATGCGCGGCCTGCGAGGGCTGTTGCAGAAGCAGCACAGTTGCTCTTGAGTTCTAGCCCTCGGGCATCAATTTTCGGGCCTGCTTATTTTGGGGCAGCTCGCAAAAGTTATCCGCCATAAAAACAATTCCGTTGTACTTGTATTCCCAAAGGCGCATTACAGACCTTTGGCCAAAAAGCCAAAGAGAGCTGCACGCGACCGCGCCGCGCGGACGGTGTTAGTAAAAACGTGAGTTTGCAAAAACGGGCGGCGTAGCAAGGAATTACGACTTTCCCACGGTCCCGTACTCTGACCCCGTGCAGTTTTGGGCGGGGGACCACGACACATCGACAGCTGGGGGCTGATAGTCTCATACACCCTCAATGTGTTTGAGCGTACCATGTGTCTTTAAGCGATTTTAGCACTTCGAATAGACGTAAATAGAGGCAGCTGTCGAAGGTACTAATTTTCGCCGACTCAACTTTCAACTTCAACGACTAAAAAACTTACAAAAATCATTTCCTCACCCAAAGCTGTTTCGATATTCTTATAGTACGAGAAGTTTCCTATCAGATGATATCAACTTGCTCGCAAAACATTTCATTTTTGAACGAAATTTCCAGTTGAAAAAAACGCCATTACTTATGGGCCAACCCAATACAACTGCACACGCACACCCGCTTGCACAAACATAGCATGTGCGTATACAAATATTCATGTTCAAAAAGGTACAAAAAGCCTACATCTTAGGCTATGATTCTCAAAGGAAATTCTGAAAGACTTACCTACAACCGCTTTCCTTTCATTAGTTACATAAATGGTTGTAAAATATTGAAATTGTTTCCATTAAGCGTATCAGAGTTTATCAACTAGGAATGGTTCTAGTACATTTTTAACATTCGAATTTGAGTCGTTTATTTCTCATCACCGCCCTTGAGATGACGGAAGACAAGTATTCTTTTTAATCGATTTTCTGAGAATTCTTTACGAACCAAATCTTTCACTCTTTTACTGAAAATCTCGAATAGGTTGTTGGATCGCAATCCTTATTTATATTCGATAAAGTTGTTTTTAGTTGGACATTTGATAAGGCAAATTACAAAGGTGCTTGCGTTGTAACCTGATTCTGCTAACTTTTTATTAGTCTACTCCAATCTGTCTATGAAGTGTTGTACTATAACATGTTCGAGCTGCTCTTACAAATTCTGACTAAATTGTGCTGATTTCAATGCAATAAGAATCATTTGTTGTACGTTTGGGAAGACGTTTATTAGAAAAACTAAGCGTATCTGTTTTGTTGTACATTTCTGTAGACAATTTGTTAGTTTTATGCCAACTTCTAGATTCAGCTAATTGCATTCGTACTCATTTTCATGTGTAACTTCAAGTTTCAGAAAATTTTGAATATTTCGTTGAGTTCAATATGTGTTAGGTCATCTCATTCGAAAACGTGGAGACACATAGAGGAATGGCAGGAAAGCAAAGGGGATAGGGATGCGGGCTATAATATCCATTGAAAGCTAGGACCTTTATCTACGTATATACCATTTTCACTTTAGATTCACCACTTTTCAAACCAAATTCACCACTTTTCAAACCAAATTCACCACTTTTCAAACCAAATTCACCACTTTTCAAATCAAATTCACCACTCTTTTTAGACCGGGCAGTTCACCAACCAGATCACGCCAGACACCACTTCGAGCTCCGCCTCGACAAGATTGCTCTTCTTTATCTCTATCTTCAGCGTTCTTCCAGGCTTGCGCTCATGCTTCATTTAGAGTCGATAGACCTCTATATTTGTATTATAACAACAACAACAACAGCAATAACGTGATTATAAAATAAATATGAAAATGATGCTCGCTGTTTTCCTTTAACCACCTCTGTGACAGCCTACAAGCGTGAAGGAAGGAAGCCAGATGGGAAGCTGAGAATACGTCACGACGCGGTTCACCTCGCGAGCCATTGTGAAGAAGGTCCGTAGAAGTCTTCAAACATCTCGAGCTCGCGGTGTATTTCTTCGACTTCTTTGTAGTATCTTCGATTGCCTCTGGGAGATGTGCACAATGCTTTATGGTGCTTTTTTGATCCACAGTAATAACACCTTCGCCTTTCGTTCCAGCAGTTGATCGTGTTGTGTCGGGTCCAAGCATAATGTGCATCGTGCTCGCCTTTCTCTCGTCTCGGTGCTAGTGTATACTGGGCAGCTGTCAGAATAACGTTGACCTTCTGCAAGGCTGAACAAACAGATCAGAAACCGTGCTTCGAATCCCATCTTATCGGGCCTGCGTATTCACCTTTCTGGTACGTGTCGGTTAGCCTTCAGAAACGCCTTTACTTCGGCTGTACGGTCCTCCAGCTTGACCCAGTCTTCATATCCTGGATGCTGTGTGGTTCAGCCCTTTCTTTTACAGTCGGTTCGTTTGGTTCAGTGTGTCTTCCGTTTTTATATCGCTTTGATCAGTAACAAGTTCATAGTCGTAGTTTTCCAGGTCCAGAATATACTCCTCAGGTACATAGGGGACCGTTTTCGTCTTGACTCTTTCGTCCTTCAGTGGTTCTACATCACTGCTGATGCTTTCTAGCTCATTGTAAATTGCTTCGTCTCGACTTTTTTCAGGAGGACGATCCTCTTTTTCTCCATCCTTCAGCAGTGGTTCGTGTACCTTGATTACTAATGTGAAGATGAAGTCAACTCTTTTCGATAGATCTTTGGTGCCCTCATTTTGCTCCTTTATTTGCTGGCAGACATACTCGTACTTTGTTTGTAGCTCCTTGTTGAGGTCACAGATCTTCTTTTCCATTTCGTCGAATACACTGTAATGTTTTTCATCATCCTCCTGGATTGGAGCCTCCCTTATTTCATTTTCTATTCGATGCTTGAAATCGGCGAAGAAATCGAGTTCTTTGAAAGTAAGAGAACAACATATTCTTCGTCGCGTTTCTCAATGGAGCTATTGAAATTTTTAATACCTGCTCATTGATACGGACTATCTCTTCGTTTTCAGGGCCGCAAAACTCTTTTTCTATTTCCTGATCCAGGATGTGATGTTCCCTAGTGACTATCGAATGTACAGTTGATTGCAGTTGCTGCTCATGTTCTTCATAATCTTTAGTGCGTTTTCCAGAGATCATGTATCCTAAGCGTGTGGGTACAAAAGTCAGTCGAAGGTAAAGTGTGGTGCTTCGAATTTTATGAATTTCCATAGCTGATCGCATCCAACGAGTATCTCTGGAGGCTTACTTGCTTCACTGTCTGAGATGCTCAGTTTTATTCGCCTTTTATGGATGAATCGCATGTCTTCTTTTTGGAGCCTTCCTCCATTCAAATTTCTTGAAAGGTTATCATGAGTATAGAGTCTGAGCTGGTGCTGCTCTCCATCAGAATCCCATATATTCAAAGTTGTGTCACCACATTGAATTTCCTTTGCTGTTTCAGCTCCAAAGGTCCTAAGTTTCATGGTGACTCTACCTTGGACAGGCAACTGAAGTTCACCTGCTAATTTGGCATCGATGAAACTGCGATCTGCACCCGTGTCCAAGAGAATGTGGAGCGTAATGAGCTTCTTTGTTTCGGGGTGTACAGTCCGTACAGCTCCCGTCAAGAGGAATATCTTTTCTTGTTGTTTTTGACGAGTGTCTTCAACTCTCATCACCGTAAAGTTAGAAAGTTGGTTGTTTTCCGACGTGTGCATTTTGTTCTTCGCATAGTGGGAAGTTTTGTCGGGCTTCTACTGGTTTTTGCTTGTCTTCCTTCTTTCAATAGGCGGATTCGCAGTCGCGACCTTGAAGCATGTAGAAAGCACTCTTATGACTCTCCGCTTCCCAAAAAGCCTCCTCATGACAGACCAGATAATTATAGGCCAATAAGCATCACATCAATCTTCAGTAGATTGTTCGAGAAAATAATCAAGGATGTAATTGTCAAACATCTTGAAGCCAACTCTGTCTTATCAGAGGCCCAACATGGGTTCAGAACGGGTAGGTCTACCATATCTCAGATGCTCTTGTCCCTCAATGACTGGACATGTGCTCTTGATCTCGATTCTAATGTTGATGTTGTCTATTTTGACTTTTCAAAAGCTTTTGACAAAGTTTGTCATAGTAAGCTGCTCCGTAGGTTAGAGTGTGTAGGCGTTCACAGTAGTATTATACGGTGGATTCAAGCTTTTCTAACTGGTCGCACATTTCAAGTTAGAATTAATGACTGCCTCTCTGCAGTTAGGCACGCCACTAGTGGGGTTCCGCAGGGTGGGGTTTTATCCCCTGTTCTTTTCAATATTTACACATTCGATCTACCCTTGCTGGTCCAAAGCGAGGGGGTTATTTGTCAGATGTTTGCCGATGACATCAAGATCTACAGGGCAGTTACATCTTCACATGACTGCTCTGCTATTCAAAAGGCCGTTGATATTGTTTACGCTTGGTCTGTCAGATGGAATCTGCCTATCTGTTGTGAGAAAACCAAAACATTGTATCTCGGTAGAAACAATCCCAAGAATAAGTATTTTATTTCACGATCCCCTATTGATGAAGTTTCTGAAATAAAGGACTTAGGATTTACTGTTAACCGCAAGCTCAGCTTCGACTCCCATTGCCTTAAAATTGCTGCTAAAGCGGAGCAAAGACTATTTCTGTTGCTGAAGGCGCTTAGTAGTAAAGATCCCTCCGTTTTGATCAAGGCTTATAAGATGTATGTCAGACCTATTCTCGAATATGGGACAAGTATTTTCTTTCCATACAAGAAAAATCATCCAGGCGCTAATTGAACTGCTTGCAAAATAGTTTCACTAGGAAAGTTTTTATAAGAGCGTTAGGGTACACTTACAACAGTATCCCGCGGGCCATTATTCGAAATAAAATGCTTAATCTGGATTCTCTTTCTAAACGGAGGTTAAAGAACGACCTGATCACCGTCTTCAAAATCGTCCATGGGTCAATGGCATTTGCAGCCAATAAGTTATTTTCTTTTTCTGTCTCATCTACTAGAGGTGAACCTAGCAAAATCTGCCTCAACATCGCCAGGTCTTCGCTTCGTAGCCACTTCTTCACTCAGCGTGCTGGTTCTGAGTACTCTAAGTTATGCAAGAGCATTCGTTTGCCTATAAAGCTCTCCCGTTTCAAACAAGAAATCTCGCGTTTCCTCAAGAAGTTCAGCTAGTTTGCTCACTGACTCCTCATCGCACTGGTTCCATTCTCCTTTTCTTCTTGTCACTTTTGTGTGTGTTATTCGAAGTTTTATCTACCTCACGATACACTGCCTCTCCCTTTAATTGCTATTATTACTACTTTTTTAAACATTCAATTGATTGTTTGATTTGTTATGTTTGGTTCTGATGTTTCACGTTGGTTCAACATGCTCCCAGCGGGCATGTAATAAATAAATAAATAAAAGTATGCTGCTTCTTCCTACACTGCATGCATCTTTAGCCTTACATTCAGCGAAGCTGTGTGTCTTAGACCCACAGCCTATGCAACGGTTATTCTTCTTCAAGTACTCAAGGCGTGCCTTAGGAGTAATGATTTTGGAACATTCCGTTGACCAATGCTCCTTGCTGTCGCAATAGAAACAGAATGGTGGACGACTTCTTGACTGGAAGTCTGGTTTATTCTTCAGAGATTGCGGGGTACTCTCAGCTCTTCTGGGCATGCACCTTTGAATCTCTTCCTCCTGTCTGATTACATCATCGAAGATGGTCATGAGTTTTGTCAAAGTCCAGCTCTGGTCCTGGGACAAGGAGACCGTTTCTCTCAGAATGTTTCTCTGGATGGTCTCCGAAAATTTTGAAGGAATTCTTTATAGTACCCATGGACTATCAATTCGTCATCATTTCGGGATTCGCCTTTGTTAACCGGTTGAGCAATAATGGTGGATAACTGGTCGTAGGGCTCCCGCTGATCCTCCAACTGCGCGCTTCTAGCGCTCCAATTTTTCACTTAATGCAAACTGGTAATTATGCTCTGAGCATCTCCATATCTTTCTTTGAGAAGATTCACCGCGAGGTTGTAATTGCCCGCCGTTATTTGGAACCGGGCCACCGCCTCTCTGGCTTCGCCTTTCAATGCTCTCAGAAGGTAGTTGAACTTCTGGAGGTCTGAAAGTTGTGAAGAGTGCACGCTTGCGTCGAATAATTCCCAGAAGCTCTCCCACTCCCATGCTTTGCCGCTGAACTGGGGTAGTGGTATCTTTGGTAACTCTATCCTAGCTGTTGTGCTTCTACCACTTCCTGGACTTCCTATGCTAGAGATTTTAGAGCTCATCGATGCTATCCTACTTTTGTTAATCTCAAGTTTGAGTTCTGTCGTTTCTGATATCATATCTTCAGCTCATATTTAGTCTTTGCTATGCGTTCTGAGGTTTTTTCTTCTCCTTCTTTTGTAGGAAGCTCTTCGAGATTATCTATATCAACAGTGAAGTCAAAAAGGGCTTTCTCAAAGGTATTTTGGAGTGCTCTAACTTCTACTTCGGCCATCTTGATTTCAGTGAAGCGCGCTTTGCATGCTTCACCATCTTCCGTGTTTATAATCTCACTCAAGCGAAGAATGCTTGGCTAAGCTATTTGACAGGCTGTTCAAATGCCTGGTCGGTACCCCTTTCCTCGTTTTCAGTGACGTTGCCATTTTTCAACTATGAGGACTTAGGTAGGGTATTGACCAGTTCAGAGCGTAGTGCCAAGTGCTATCCAAGATGGAAGTTGAACTTCTGGCAAATGAAGTCTGACCTGAGTCCTTTGGTCCTCTTCCTTTGTCCATAAGGATGTACTGCACTTGCTCTGCTGATGATTTGGCTGATGCACCAGTTGTCCGGTTGGAGGAGTAGAGCCGACAAAAGTGTTTATTCCTACTCAAGAAGCCTTAAATATGAGCTGCAATCTTATCAACTGGTATCTTATCGCATCGGTGGTGGATCTTCTCCTTGATAAGATTGCTCTTCTTTATCTCTTCTTCAACGTTCTTCCAGGCTTGCGCTCATGCTTCATTTAGAGTCGATAAACCTGTATATTTGTATTATAACAACAACAACAACAACAACAACAATAACGTGATTATAAAATAAATATGAAAATGATGCTCACTGTTTTCCTTTAATCACTCAGCGACAGTCTTCATGCGTAAAGGAGGGAAATCGGATGGGAAGCTGAGAATTCTTCACGACGCGGTTCACCTTGTGAGCCATTTCGTCATTAACGAAGGGCATGAGAGTCACGCCGTCTGACGATCTATGAGCGGAAGTGAACTGTTCTAGACGTACAGAAATGCTCCTAAGGAGATGGTCACACGTATACGTTTCAAAACGAGGAGGTCCGTAATAATTCCTACCTTTTGGACACCCTTTTCGAAGGAAGTGAATCGTGTGACTGGAGGAATGCCAGTCC